AAAAAAAAAAAAAGAAAAGAAAAAGGATTACTTAAGATGGTATAGTAAAAAAGAAATCTCCCTCTCTATTTGGACCCTAAGGTCCATTCTCCAGAGGTAACCACTACTAATAATTTTCTAAATGTGAGCAAATCACACACAACTGAATTTGGTATTTTATACTTATAGATAGGAATATTCTTAAGTAGGTATTTGTCTTGAGGAAATGATGGAACAATTTACATTCCTACCAGCAGATACTGGTCTCCTATATTTTCTCCAGTATAAAGCATTATCTTTTTTTTTTTTAAGTTACCAATTGCATAGATAGAAAAATTACATTTTATTGTTTTAATTTGCCATCTTTATATAGTAAAGGGTAAACAGCTTTTTGTGTGTTTACTGGCCACTTATAAGTGAATTGCCTATTAGTGATATTTTCTAGGATGTTCGACTTTTTCTTACTGGTTTTCTAAGGTCCTGGGCTATTAATGTTTTTTGCATATGTTGTAGAGTTAATTTCCTAGCTTGCTTTTGAGTTTTCCTTAGTCATTTAAGCCAGAAATTTTAAAGTAGTTTAATTTGTCATTTTAAGAGTTTTCTCTTTGTTTCTTTGTCATTTGGCTTGTGACCCCACCACTGTGCTGGAACTGCTCATCCTAGACGTCTCTGCACCCTGGGATATAGACTTACTCACCTTTATTTTCTTTGGTTTTGTTTTTCACACTCAGAATTTTAGTGCATATGGAATTATTTCAGTGTATGGTAAGAGATAATTTAATTACACATTTTTTCTTCAGTAGTTAACCAGTTTTCCCAGTGTTGTTCATTGAATAATCCATCCCTTTTCCTCACTGATTTGGAATGCCATCTTTCTGATTTACTTTTATGCTTTAGTCTTTTCTGGGTCTTAGATTCTGTTTTATTGTTCTAGCAGTATGTTCTTGTACCAGTCTATTTTATTCATTATACATTTAGCATCTGGTATTGCAAGTTTTTCTTTCCTATTTTCCCTTTTTATTTAAATTTTAGTGGCTATTTTGACTTTTCTTCTGTATCAACTTTGGAATCACTTTATCAGATTTCTAAATAAATTCTATTCATAATTTGCTTGAAAGTAATATTGGTTAGCTGCTTACAAGTATGGCTCTTGGAATCTGGCAAACTTGGCATGCAATCCAAGTTTGGCTTAAAATCCAGGTTTGACCGTCTGTTCTTTGTGTGAACTTGGTGAAGTCTCTTAATCTCTTAGCTTCTGTTTATTCATCTGTTTGCCGGGGGCGGGGGGGAGCCCAAAACCTAAATCTCTTTTAAAGGAATGTTGTGAGGGATAAATGAGAAGATGTGTATAAAGCATTTTAGCATGATGCTGAGCATGTACAAGCTCTTCATAAAAGGAAGTTATTACTAAATTTGTAGATTAGTTCGGAGGAAAGTCAGCATTTACAAAAAGTTTAATATTGATTGTTTCAATCCAGGAACATGTTTTGCCTTTTCATTTATGTCAATAATATTTTATATAATTTTCTTTACATAAATTTGTTATGTTTCTTATTAAGTTTATTCCTGGGTTCTTTTTTAAATTTTTAAACAAGCTGTTATATTTTAAAAGGTATTAAGGTACATGCTAAAAATTTGAACAGTTCAAAAGGCATAGAGTGAAAAGAAAGTCTTTCTTCTGTCCCAGATTCCAATTTCCCAGTCTTCCTGCACCAGAAGCAACTACTGTTGCCAGTTTCTCGCGTAGGTTCCCTGGGTTCTTTTTTTAATGTTTGGTTTGTTTTGCTTTTGTTTATTTATATTTTTGCCCTGATGTATTGTTTTACCTAGGAAAGATAGCACTACCTAGTGGTTATGAATACAGCTCTTGTGGCCTAAAATAATTACTTAAACTTTCTAAGTCTCATTTCCTTGTTTTGGTAAAATGAGGACAATAATTTTACATATCTGCTAGTATTATAATGAATGTAAAGTCTGAGTTCTGAAGCTGGCACATTGCAAGCCTAGAGTGAATGTCAGTTAATATTAGCAGCTAATACAGGTTTGCATGTTTAAAGGAAAGTCACTGACACTTGGTTCTCTTTGCTTCTTCCCTCAGCCCCTGCCCTTCATTGTGAGGGAGCCCAGGTGATGGCAGCCATGGCCCTGAATGCCTGTTACCAGGTGAGCTGTGATTCCCTCAGATCCTTCAAGAAATCTTATTTGAAGGAATGGGAAATAAGAGGAGTGATTCGGGCAAAAGTGTTAGAACCAAAGCAGCAGGAAGGCCTTGCTTCATCCCCACAGTGGGACTGGATGATGGGAAAGAGCTGACGATGACAGATTGAGCAACCAGAGACTCAAGAGCCCAGGAAGCAGTGGCTGGAGAGAGTGAGGAATCGAAGTAAAGCCTCCTGCACTCTGAGGATCTCTGCTGAGCTGGAGAGCCCCCAGGTTCAGTAGGGACCCCCACAGAGGGATCCATGAGATAAGGGACTCAGGCTGGTGGTGGACGTATCCAGTGTTCTGTAGGAGTGTTCCAGATCAACAAGGTGGCAAGATTCTTGGGAGGTGGGACCAGAGGGATGGTAGGAGGAAGAAAAGAAAAAGGGGGCATATACAATTTGTCCTCCAAAAAGAGAGCATAGTTGGGGGCTCTGGATCAGTGAGGAAAGAATTGGTTCAGGAAGGGCACATGAATGTCTGTCTCAAGACTCAGTACTTCTGGTTGAGGGAGGCAGCATGCGGCAATATGAAATGTGGTACTAGGCGACAGGAAATTTAATTTCAGAGGAGATTCCTATCAGCCCTCAGGGGCATTGTGACTTTGAGCTAGTCACCTAACCTCTTTGTGCCTCATCTGACCTCGTCTGTCAGATGGCAACAATGCTACTCATTCCACGTTAGGAGAAAGATGCTGCCAGATGCCTGTCAGCTCTGCAGTGTGCTGGGTTGTTGAGTGCTACTTGATGGACTGTCTTCTTCAGGCTTCTCTATGTCGCATCTTGTCATCCATGATCTTATCCCAAGTACCAGTCCCAGATCATCCATTGTCTGGGTTCCTTTCCATTAGTATGGCCTTGCCTGGAAGCCTAATCTCGACACATCAGAGACACAGTTCATTGTACTCCTCACACCTCCCACTCCTTCTGCACTTCCTGCCAATTGTTAGTATCCCCATGCCACCATCCCTGGTCACTGTTTTTAGATTTTTAGTCATTACTGATTCTTCACTCTCCTTTGTCACCTTGTTCATTCAATCCAAGTTCTGTTATTCCTGTCTCAGCACCCATTTGTCCCTTCTTTGTATGGCTTTCCTGATTTTCTTTTTAAGATTTTATTTATTTATTTGAGAGAGAGAGAGACAGAGAGAGAAAGCACGAGTGGGGGGAGGGGCAGAAGGAGAGGGAGAGAGACAAACAGATGGCCTGCTGAGCAGGGAGCCCGATGCAGGGCTCGAACCCAGGACCCTGAGACATGACCTGAGCTGAAGTCAGATGCTTAACTGACTAAGCCACCCAGACGCCCCTGGCTTTCCTGATTTTATCGTCCCTTTCCTGGATATTGTCAGCAAAGCCTCTCAGCAATTTCCTTTGTCTCCAGTCTTGGACCATCGTGTCATCTAACATTTTTTGCTTTTAAGACTCAGGCTCAGGTTCTTGAATTTGGAGTTTGTTGTGGTATGGTGATCCATCTAAGTGCATTAGCTCACAGAGTTGAGGTCAGATTGGCATTTTTTAATTTTCTTTTTTAAAGATTTTTTTTTAATTTATTTATCTGAGAGAATGGGAGACAGAGAGCACGAGAGGGGGAGGATCAGAGGGAGAAGCAGACTCCCAGCTGAGCAGGGAGTCCGATGCGGGACTCGATCCCGGGACTCCAGGATCATGACCTGAGCCGAAGGCAGTCGCTCAACCAACTGAGCCACCCAGGCGCCCCCAGATTGGCATTTTATAAAGATCTTTCTATGTGCTGGACAGAGGTGGACTTGGAGGATAAACCTGGAATTAGGGACCATTGCCATGGTCCAAAGGACAGTTGCTGAGGACTTGAGTTATATGGTGACTAATGATGTTGCATAGGAGTCAGATCCAAGAAATATTTAGGAGATAGAATTGGCAGGAGTTGATTACTGATTGCTTGCCAGAGCTAAGCAGTGACTAGGGGATAGTTGAGAATGATTCTTAGGTTCCCATCCAAGGAGACCAGGGTAAAAGTGGTGCTACTGGCTGAGACAGGGAATCAAAATAATGACCAGCATCAGATGTGAGCACTTACCATTGTTTCTTCTTATATTGAGCAGGATTAGAAGCAGCCATTTAAGGGAGGGTGACAGGTTCAGAATTGGACATATCAGAAACATAACTGGCGTGTGGGTCACTGGGCATCCAAGGCAGGCATGTGACTGATTCCAGGACCACATGAGACCTTGGAGTGAGGATCATGTCCACACACGGAGGACACCAAAAAGACAAGAAGGACCACATCATTGTACTGTCTGGGAAGGAAGAGTTTGGGCTGGCAGGCGGTTTGGTTGGCAGAGGATAGTTTATCTGAGAGGTATAAAGAGAGACAGCCAGAGAGCCACCGAGCAGCGTTAGAATCAAGAAACACTTTGTCGTAGGAAGACTGCCTGGAGTTAAGGAGGCTCTTCCATCTCCAGAGTTCTTTCTGCTGGCCGGGCTTAAGCAGAGGCAGCATAACCCCCTTTTGTTGAGGGTGGAGGGGTGGGTGGCACAACAGGGTTCTGTGTCAGGTGAGGGCTGCAGGGAATGGGGCCTGTTTGGACAAACCATGACTGTTCACAGTAGGTAGCTGTGAGGATTGGGGTAGGGCAGGCAGATGTGGACATAGAACAGGGCTCAGTGTAAGTGCAGGGAGCAGGATGGATAAGCTGGACTCTGATCAGTAAAGTGGGGACAGGCAGCAGGGACATCCCTGGCATGTCACCCATGAGAAGTACAGTCGGAGGCCAGTCATCTGTTCATAGAGTGTCTGAAAGACCAGAAGGGCATGTACAAAAATGAAGAGGGTTTACTTCAGGGAGGTGAATTTGTGAAAGATTTTCTTGGTTCCAGTTTTCTATAATGTGACATTGCCTCTTGTAATAGTAAGTCTCATGTGTAATTAGAAGCTGCTCTGACAGTGAAGGGGTCTCAGAGTTGCTTGTTGTAGGTGTGGTCATTCATTAGCATGCAGGGCCTTGTCCTTTTACTCTTCATTTCCCAGCCATCACGGGACTGTCCCTCAGAACCTCACACTGTCCCCTGTGCTCCACACTCTGGCTCTGAGCCAGAGGATTGGCTCTGGGGCAGCAGGAACCTGTTGTTTTAGGAGGTGGTGACCTTCAAGGACGTGGCTGTCTACTTCACCCAGACAGAATGGGCTGGGCTTTCTCCTGCACAGAGAGCCCTGTACAGGGAGGTGATGCTGACAAATCATGGGAACTTGACTTCTCTGGGTAAGGCCATTTTGCCTTTGGGACTCAGATTCATAGGACAATGGTAGGGTAGATTGTGGCGTGAATGTCCTAACCTTTTACATATTTACAGGGGCAAAAACTCCTAAACCCTCAGGCCCAGAAGATATCAGGCAGGGATGGAGGGAGAAGTCTGAGGTTAGTTTGGGTCTAATGTGGGTTTGGCCATTCTCTGGTGAGAACACTTCCCACCATAGGAGTTCTGTGCAGGGCACTATGGGAAAGAAGTATCTTCTGTTGAAGGTAGTACCTTCAACTGTCCCGGTGGTCTAAGAAAGACTTCCCTCATTGCTTTTCTGTGCTTGCATGTGTCTCACAGGATTTCACTGACAAACTCTGTGATTTTTTACGAAGAGGTCACAAATGCTCAGTTTCCTCTTGATCAAAAATCTCCTTGGGCTTTCCCACTTTCCAGCCCACTTCTATGGGCCTTATCCTTACTGAGCCGCTTTGGGGTTTCCTTCTCTGACTGCAGACACGGGGTTGTGTGGTGCCTCAAAAACACTAACATGAGACTCCCCTCCCTTGCCATTTTCTGCCTCCTTTTCAGGATACCCAGTTTGCAGACTTGCCTTGACCTCACTTCTGGAAGGAGGGGATTTGCCTTGGGGCCTGGAGCCACAGGACGATCTACCTGCAGGGAATACCAGTGATGTCTCTAAAGGTAGGTGAGGCAGGTTTAGAACCATCAACCATAGTCCTTTGTTAGATGCATGGTTTGCCAGTTTTTGAGCACTTGCTGTGTGCTAAAATGGCGTTTCTTTGTTTGAGAGGCTCTGGAGGATACTAATTATGGAGACAGGGTTAGAGAGCTAAAAAAGAGAGAATGTGTTAAGTGCTATTGGTATACTGTTGGTATATACGCAGCAGGCTGTGGGACCCAGCAGGAGGAGTTAGAGGAATTCCCACTTAGAATAGTATCAGGTGACACTCCTTCAGTGGCAGGCCACATGTTCTGCATTCAGCAGATAAGAACATTGCAGATGGGGTGGGGGGAAGATAATCTGGCTGGAGGAAAGGAATAATAAAAGATCCAGTATAATTCCTGGCATAATATAATATCTGGAAAAGGACTAGTATCTGGAATATATAAACAACTCTCAAAACTCAGCAACAAAAACAGAACAACCCAGTTAGGAAATGTGTGAAAGGTATGAACAGCCATTTCACCAAAGGGAACACACAAATGAAAAGATGCTTGACACCATTAGCCATTAGGGGAATGCAATTTAAAACTCCAATGAGATATCACTACACCTTGATCATGTATGTCACCATATAATTGTGAAGAGCTTCATGGTTTGATGTGCAGGAGAATTACCTGGGGAGTGTATTTTAAAATGGACATTTCTGGGGCCCACCTGTGAGCATGCACTGTTTTATCTTTTTAAGGAAGTGTGTCTACTTCTGTGCCGTTAACATGGTGGCCACTAGTTGTGTGTGCTTATTAAACTCTTGCTGTTGAAGGGGGGCTAATTCAAATTGAAATGTCCTATAAGTATAAAATACCAGATTTTGAAGACTTAGTAAAAAAAAATAGTGTAAATGATCTCATTTATGATTTTTATGTTGACTTCATGTTGAAATGATAATATTTTAGATTTACTGGGTTAAATAGAATATATTACTAAAACTAATTTTACCATTTTTCTTTTTACTTTTTTAATGTGGCTCCCATAAAAACAAAATTACATATGTAGCTTGTGTTTATGGCTCACACTGTATTTGTTTTGAACAGCCCTGCTCTACTACAGAGCATATCCTTAAGCCCTCTCATTTAGCCAACCATACATAAGCATTGTTGGTGTGTATAGAAAGCCTAGGACACAGAGGTTAAGGCAGACCCGAAGACTTCTGTCCTAGGGAACTTACTGCGTTATAGGAGATGAGGGAGCTGGCAAAAGAACATGGAGCAGGAGCGGGGACCCCTGCCACAGTGACCTTGCCACCAGTGCCGTATGGCGTGAGCCCGTGATTACTATGTTTCAGAACTGTCAACTGGACATGTATGTAATTTGATTGGCCTGTGAGGGAAATTAAGGCATAAAACCTTGTTACATTGTTGCTGTATTGCTGTTAATAACTTCGGAGGCCTGCACAAGGGTAGGGACAGGGTGATGCAGGGATAGACAGGATCGTAGAGGTGTCAGGTAGCAATGATAAAGCTTAGCGGTAAACATAAATGAGTCTTAATATAAAAATAGCTTTTATGGTGACAAGGACAGTAGACTTATCCCATGAAGTTTGAGTTTCTCTGAAACATACAGCTCCCTGGGTATAGCAGTCTCTTGAGAATGCAACTCTGATGTTGGGACAAGGTCAAGGCTGGGATTATACAGGGTGCCAAAGTCTGGAAACCTAGGCAGGCCTACATAATGGTGTCAAAGACATCTTCAATCTATTAAAAAATACATCTACTTCCAGACTTTATGACCACCCTGTATATGTGGGAGTCCTCCATATCAGTGGTTCTCACTGGGGGCCAGCCACCTTTGTCCCCAGGGGACATTTGGTAATGTCTGGAGACATTTTTGTTTGTGCAGACTGGGGAAGGGGTTGATACTGTATCAAGAATGGTGCTAATAAATATCCTCCACTGCACAGGACAACCCCGCACAACAGAATTATCTGGCTGTGAATGTCAGTAGTGCTGAGATTGAGATACCTTGCTCTGTATAAAGGACTCCATGTAGCTGAAATGTCCCTAAATAGAGAAGGAGATGGGGAAGAGGATCTTAAAGATTTTTTAGGGTTGAAGAGAGAGGGAGGAGGAAGTAGAGAAAAGAGTGAGATTGAAGCTAAGGGTGGGAAGATTTCCAAGGAAGCTGGTGGGCAATGGAGTAGAAGCCCGTGAGGTAAGTGGGATATGAACATGTTAGGGAAACACTTACCTTCTTTTGTGAGGTTTAGGAATGAAAGGAAGACTGTAAACAGTAGCTTTAAGGCAGTGTTTTGCAGACATTTTTTTACTGTAACCTACAGTAAGAAATACAACTTAAGTCACAACCTAGTATATATGCTTTTACAAATAACTGAAGCCAGAGTTTCAGATTTAGAGCTTACCTTTCCTGTTTGCTCTGACACCTGGTATTCTCTATTAATTCTCTATTCAAATCTAGTCTGATGTCTTTCACTTCTTAAAAAGTTTCTTTTTGCAACCTGCCACATTTATTTCATGATCTACTAGTGGTTCTCAAACAGTTGGAAAAAAAAAAAAGCTAGTCTAGGAAAGATAATTACCCTCAGGTGGACCTGAGTAGCTAAAGTCAGAAAAGGTGAAAGGGGGGCAGGGAGAGGATGTACCTGATGAGCTCCGTTAGAGGAGTGGGCAGAGCTGGGATCCAGGTGAGAGAGGGGGAGCCCTGAAGGGAATGTGGGAGATGGGTGCCACCCTGTGGGGGTGGATAGTGAGGAGGTTGAGGAGCACCTTTGAGGCAGTCTTGGTTTTCCCAGCGAGGAAGAGGTGATACTGACGGGAGGGTTAAGTGAGGGGCCAGTTGGAGGTTTAGGGAAAGTGGTGATTGCTTGAAAGTACTCTGGGGAAGCTGATAAGTTCAAATGATAGGGTTCTAGGGTATCAGGGAAGGAGGGGGTTTCTCTGTCATCTATTATTCTAATCTGGATTGTGTGACACTTGCTTTCTGCCAAACAGCAAGGGAAAAGATACATGAGAATTGACTTCCAGGTTCCACATTGTTCTGGTCACTGTTTTTCAGATTGTTATTTCCCTGTTTGTTCACAGTTTCAGCTATCTCCTTGCTCCTGTTTCCCTTCTGCAGAAGCCCGCTCCTCCAAATTCACATGCACATAGGCATGCGCAGAGAACTGGGTAGATCACCCCCACTCCCTATTAAAACAGAACTTATCAGCCATTATGTTATAACATGGATCCAGTTAACTTTCAGGTCATAATAATTTTATTATTATAGTACATAAGTTGTATGCCTTTTTTTTTTTTTCTGAGGGGGGGTGAGTGGGGTGGGGGAGCGCAGAGGACCAAGAGGGAGAGGGAGAGAGAGAGGATCTTAAGCAGGCTCCACGCCCAGTGTGGAGCCTGACTCAGGGCTCCATCTCATGACCCTGAGATCATGACCTGAGCTGAAATCAAGAGTGGGACGCTTAACTGACTGAGCCACCCAGGCACCCCTGTATGCCTATTTATACAGACAACAAATAATTATTCAGTCATTTATTTTATCACATTTATTTAGTATCTACTGTGTGTCAGGAATTGTTCAAGACACCTAGGATACAGCAAGAAAGAAAACAAAGCCTTTGCTTTTGTGGAGCTTATGTTCTAGTGGTTTAAGATCAAGGGCAGCTAATTTGTAAAAAAAAAAAAAAAAAAAAAAACCCAGAAGATAAACAGGCATTCTGCATATAATGTTATTTTGCAAATGGAATAAAAATGCTAATATCTGCTTTTAACCACAAATGTTTAATTAAGAAGAGTACAAATTGATAAAGATCAACACTTGAATATGAAATTTAACTCAGTTTTAGAAAAAAATGGGTTGAATTTCAAAAAACTTAATGACAATGTCCTCCAATCTTTGGAAATACAAATGCCACTAGACAGCCTGTTCCTGTTATCTTTTTCTCACCTGAGGCTTTCCTGTTCCTCAGTATGCAAAGGAGAGCACTGTGCAGTCTCCTGGGCCTTAAAGAAAACTGTGTTCTCCTCTTCCTAAGAGGTTGAGCAGACACGTTTTGAGTCCCACAACAGCACATACTCAGCCATTTCTAACAGATGGCATGTGCTCAACTCTTGTAGCTCACCAGGTGTTGCCTCTTGCTCCAGATTCTGTGCTGCTTCCTCCAGAGCATTTTCAAGCATTTAAGTACTATGAAGTCACAAGTTATTGGGGACATACAGGTCTGGAGAAGCATAAGAAGCAGTCTTTTTTGTTGGGAAGTGTAGTGACCTGGATTCAAAATCTCATTTCCTATTCCACAGCTACTATTTTCTGCCTCTGTTATATTTGGCTCTTCCGGTTTAATAGGTTTATATTTCTGGCAGGCTACATGGAGTTTGGAATAGTAATCTCCGGAGGCTCTATACTTTAGTGCTCTATTGTTTCCAGTATAATTCTCAGGTGGCATGTGTCTTCCATTTCTCATGTCAGATGCTGAGACCAACATTGACAGTGAGTCCACATCAACTCAGGGAATTTCTGAAGAAAGAGATGTGATGATATCACATGGGCTGCCACAGAGTGTTTCTCAGGAAAGTGACTTTCCAGAAACATGTGAACTGGAGAAACACCAGGAAATCCCCACAGTGAAAAATATTAAAAGAAAGGATGAGAGAATCCTCTGTGCAAGGAAACCCTTCAGATGTGAGGAATGTGGGAGATGCTTCAGCTTTTTTTCTTACTATGTTAGACACCAGAGAATCCACACTGGGGAGAAACCCTACCCATGTGAGGAGTGTGGGAAATCCTTTAATGGCAATTCTTCATTAATTCGGCACCAGAGAATCCACACTGGAGAGAAACCCTACCAGTGTGAGGAATGTGGGTGAGCCTTTAATAATAGTGCAAATCTGATCAGGCATCAGAGAATCCACAGTGGGGACAGGCCCTATCTCTGTACGGAGTATGGAAATGGCTTCCCCAGTAGTTCTGAGTTGGTTATACACCAGAGAATCCACACTGGGGAGAAACCATATGAGTGTAATGAGTGTGGAAAAGCTTTCGGTGTTAAGTCAACATTAAGTCGGCATCAGAGAATCCACAGCGGAAAGAAACCATATGAGTGTCTCCCGTGTGGGAAAACCTTTAGGACTTCCTCCCAGCTACATCATCATGCGTGTGCTCACCCTAGAGAGAGGCCTGTCCTGGACCTCGGTTCCTTTGGCTTCCCAACATTTTTTACCCCCTTTTCATGGTAGTTCCTGCCCTGCTTTTTTGGAAGGCCACTTAGCCCTCACTCACCAGTTGATGTGGTAGATAGGTGCAAGGGTGGAACTTGTGGCCTAGTCTAGCCCGTCAATACTGTTCCTTCACCCGGCCACAGTGATGGGTGCAGGTGACCAGGTTCATCCAGTCAGGGGCGAAAACTACCCTGGTTTTGTTGGACTTACTCTGCTGGACTCGGATGTTAGCCTTGAGCCATCATGAAGGGTGAGAAGAGGCCAGCCCTGCAGGTAAGAGAGAAATGAAGAGAACCAAATCTACCTCTGGGTTTTTCAGTGACATGAATCAATAAATTTCAATTTTTTGCTTAAGTAGTTTTGAGTTGGGTTTTCTTTCCTTGGTGATACTGAGCCATTTCAGTGTCTCACATGTTTCAAAGCCTTCAGAGTTAACAAACTTGATTTGGCATCACTGAGTCCATGGTATGAAGAAACTTTTCATATGTGTGATATGTTGGAAACACTGTAGCTGTGATTCTGATGGTTTGCACAGAGGCAAACACTCAAGTAGTTTGAATGTGGGAAAGCCATTAACCCTCAGTTAAGCCAGGTATCCCAAATGGATGGAAGTTAAAGCAATTTAAGCACTGTAATGAAAATTTCAAGTTACTATAGGTGCTTTTCTTTGTTTTGTTCTTAAGTAGGCTCCATGCCCAACGTAGGACTCAAACTCATGACCTGAGATCAGGAGTCACATGTTCTACCGACTGAGCCAGCCAGGTGTCCCTTCAAGTTAACTATAAAACTAAATTTCTATCAGTGAATATTCTGTAGGGAAGATGCATGTATTAAATGGAAAACCTTGTTTACTTCCTACTCAGTTTCTGACAGGAGTGGATGCTGAATTTTTCATCTTATTTTAGATCTTACAGAATGCTTCCTTTTTGACCTATCTATAGTTAATTATACTAATCTTTTCCTAATATTTAGTCATATTTATATTCTCATAATCTTAGTTGGATTTGGTAGTACACATTTCTTTATATCTTGCTGGATAGTATTTGTTAATATTTTAGGATATTGTCATCTATATTCATATGTGTGATTGCCCTGTAATTTTTTTCCATCTTTGTCAAGATGTGGGAACTGAGTTATATTAGATTGCTAGAAATAGCTAGGAGGCTGTTCTTTTTCTGTACTTTAGAGAAGTTTCAAAAGCCTAGCAATTATCTGTTCCTCAGAAATTTGGAAAAAAGTCCACCTAATAATGCTGGCTGGGCCAGTCGCTTTTGTTGGGGGTAGTGTAGAGGACAAGAGATCTTTGATTACTTTATCAGTTCCTTCTATGGTATTGATCCAATTACACTGTCTATTCTTGAACCAATGTTGGTAATTTATAATTTCTTACTGACATTTACAGATCATTAGCCCTGCCTTTTACCCAGACTATCCTATTTAAAAAATATGTATTTTCAATATATGTTCCTTGGCATTCCTAAATTTGTTGGTTGACAAAATCTATATGAAGATTTTTTATTACTCATATATTTGCATGCAAAGGCTTGACATTTGTCCTTATAATGCCTAGAATAGCATGGCTGCCATGACCTTTGATTTGGTTAGGGGACTCTAATAACTGAGGAAATGGCCTTTGTTATCCATCTAAAGCAGGGTTTCTCAAACTTGGCACTATCAATATTTGGGACCTGATAATTTTTTGTTGGTGCTGTCCTGTGCATTGTAGGATGTTTAGCTTACCCACTGACATCTACCACTACATACTATTTGTAACACTCTGCCTGACCCCAGTCATGAAAATAAAAATTGTCTCCACTGATCTAGAGAGACCCTAAAGGTATATTTTTGTAAAAATAAGGAGCAAATCCTCTTCTTTGCATGCATGTCAGTTTGTGCCTTGTTATGTCCCATGCCTCCCTGTATTGTCATCTACTTGTCGTGACAGTTCTCAATTCCAGACTTAACCTGCTGCCTGAAATCTTGCCCTGAGAAGACAGCTTTATCATCTCCTTATTTGACAGCAATCCGCCCAGTGGGGAGGACACTGGGAGGTCATCTTTTAGTAATGGACTTAAAATTGTGCAGACGCACCAAAAGTGATTCAGGCAAAGAAATGGTTGAAGTCACTTGAGTCAAGGTTTGTTTGTTTCAGTTGTTGCCTCTCCAAAGAATATTAGCCTTTTATTTGTTATAGCTGTTCTTTAATAAACACTAATAGCCAGTAACATTGTGTGTGCTTTCCTATGTTAGGTAATCCCCATTAACTGGATCCTCCCAGCAGCCTTTGAAGTAGATACTGTTATCTTGTTTCACTTAGGAAATTGAAAAACAGGTTAAATAGGTTGCCCAAAGATACAGCTAATAAGTGGAAGAGCAGAGACTCAGACCCGAGTGGTCTGACTTCGGAGCCCATGTGCAAACCATTACACAGTATTGCCCTCCTGTCTCCACTGCCTTTTTTTTTTTTTTTTAAGCTTTATTGTATTGTTGACATACAGTTGAATCATCTTGTTGACTTCTACAAAAGGTCTTGCTGGGATTTTGATTGGATTGCTTTGAATGTATAGATCAATTGGGGAGATGTGACATCTTAACAAATTTGTTTTTCAGTCAATGAACACTGTATCTCTCTCTGTTTATTAGGTATTCTTTCATTTGTCATTATTTTGTAGTTTTCAGCATGCATATCTTGGACATATTTTTTTAGATTTATACCTAAATATTTTGTGATTTCTTTGTGCTATTGTAAGTGGTACTATTTTTGAAAATTTATTAAAATAATTTTGTATCATAGGAAATTTTATTATCAGAAATTTCAGTTTCCAACAATTGATTTTTTTTTCTTTTTTGTACCTTGACTTTAATTCTGTGACCTTGTTAAACTCACTTGTTCTAGGAGATTTTGTGGATTCTTTGGGATTTTCTTTTCTTTTTTTATTTTATGTTATTTATTTATTTGACAGAGAAAGAGAGAGAGCACAAGCAGGGGGAGCTGTAGGCAGAGGGAGAGGGAGAAGCAGGCTCCCTGCTGAGCCGCGAACCCTACATGGTGCTCAATCCCAGGACCCTAAGCGTCATACCTGAGCCAAAGGCAGACGCTTAACCAACTGAGCCACCCAGGTGCCCTGGGATTTTCTGCGTAGACAGTTATGTCCTCTTGCAAATAGTAACAGTTTTACTTCTTCCTTTCCAATCTGTATGCCCTTTATTTCTTTTTCTGGCCTTGTACTTGTTAGGACTCCCAGCACGGTGTTGAATAGTAGTGGTAAGAGCAGACATACCTGCCTTGTGCCCAATCTTGGAAGGAAGGCATTCTTTCTATCACTATCGAGTATATTTTCAGCTGCAAGGAAGCAATCCATATCAAATCCTATGTCTTTGTAGCCATTGCAACAAAACATTGAGCTTAACTTTAACTCTTTGGGCAGCCAAGTTTTATGCATGAAACTTAAGTTCCACTATAACTTCAGTCCATTTGTGGCTAGGCTTTTCAGAGAGCTGGGAGAGAAGTTGATATTTTCCCCACCACTTTAAAGTCAGGAATAACAGCCAGTGTGTCATGATCATATTCTATATTCTGGGTCCCCTGACTTACAGTGCTCTTAGTCTAAATTAAAGATAGATAACATAGGAGTTAGAGGGAGAGCCGGGTATTCAGGCGGTGAGGTGACCAGGAGAGAAGGTGGCTCCCATTGGAATCTTAGGAGTGGCCAAGGCTTTAAGATAATTATGTTTGATGGTAGATACCACAATAGACCTGGGTATGAGTATATATTTTCTTGTAGGTGGTACAATAGAACAGCTACAATTAGCTATTTATTAATCCTGAAGACTCACTGGAATACTGTGTGGACAACTGGGATTGGAAATTACTCATCATTTAAGCAAAAAGGATTTCAGGATGGCTAGCTTTTCCCCATTCTAAAGGTCCTAAGGACACTGGATTAGAGTCTTGGTAAGGGAAACCCAGATTGCAAAATCCTGCTGAATTTCTTTCTAAATATCAAGAGTGGTATGCACTCTGATTCATGAAATGTGACTATGCAGGAAATAAGTAACACTGTTTAAGTTCTAATTCTCACCTGTAAGTCACCTGTGACAGTAATTGTTCACCTGCCATTCACCTGTGACAATAATCTTGCTATATTTACTAAATGATTTGAATAAAAAAAAGACTTGAATAAAAATCAATAAAATATCATGGAGAAACAGGGCACCTAAGTTCAAGCCTTGGTAGGAGGCATCTGCTAATGCTCATGGCCAGGGTTGAAAGATGGTGCAGGGGGCGCCTGGGTGGCTCAGTTGGTTAAGCGACTGCCTTCGGCTCAGGTCATGATCCTGGAGTCCCGGGATCGAGTCCCGCATCGGGCTCCCTG